TGTGTGTGTGTGTGTGTGTGTGTGTGTGTGTGTGTGTGTGTGTGTGTGTGTGTGTGTATCTATATGTATGTATAGTTTATTTTCACAGGTGAAAATGTGAACATATATATAGTTAATGCTTCATGCAAGACACATGAGGTGGTGTCATTGCTGATGGTGCTAGTGTTTAGCAGTAATTAAAATTACATTCCCTAAAAATGTTGCTCATTACTGCTGGGCCATGTGAGACTCACCTCAGGTAAAGAGTATAAACATACTGCTGCTGGTTTCTACATTTGGCTGCTCTCAGTTGCAAAATGAAATGTGGAAGCTGTCAGTCAGTTCCAAATTTAACAGCAACAGCATTGTGTCTCACAGTAAATAATTGATATTCATGTGGCAGCTTTTCATTCTTCACAAGTCCATTTCTGACTCCTGAACAACTGCCTGTATTTTTAGGGAGTAAACTTTCAACAACAGTAGCTGAGCTGCGCACTTTTCTTATTTACTTGATTAAATTTTCATGAATGAGCTCACTAGCTCCAGTTACCTCAGAGCCGAGGACCTACTATTAAACACTGCTGTGTAATTTAAAGCTGAGGAAATGTTTTATTGCGTAGGTGAGGGGGTGCGTAAGCAAGGTACATGTTTTGCTCTTCTGGAAAAATTATATAGTGAATACACCAAAATATAACTCATGAATGTGTGTGTGTGTGTGCGCGTGTGTGTGTGTAGGAAATAATGTGAGACAGGCAGAGGAAAGACTAACGATACATCCATCTTTGTTCGTCCTTGTTCATTCTCTATGGAGAATTCAACCAAAATAAACAACAGACGCACCTGTGTGGGACGAGCGTTTACAGAAAGACAAATATAACCTGATTGCAGTGAATAATGATGCCACAATGGTGTCTGTTCACATATAGAGCAGCTGGGACAGCATGAATCATCCGTGCATGAAAACTCTTTAATGGGAACCAAAGTCCGCCCCAGATTAGCAGCCTCTTCCAGGGGGAAAAGCTGTCAGGCAAGTCTACGCTACCAACCGCTCACTGGCGATTCGCTCAGGCTTGAGAAACACAACTGTCATCGTTGAAGGATCAAATAAAGGGGGCCCATAACGCACCTGCAGTGCTCACTGGTGGCTATACTTCTTAGTTTTATCCCCAACCGGATCATTATGTAATCATAACATTTCCAGGTGAATTCAGAAAAGGCAAGGTTGGTTATTGATTCAGAAAAGATATGCTCAATGAACAAAGAAAAGGAACAGCTTTGCATCGTGGGCAGAGAGCATGGGTCAGTGCGATATTTAACTGACTGAAAGTGAAGGTTTCAACCCACACTCGTAAAATTTCAAATAAGAGTTCAATAAGCAGTGGCCACACTCGAAAAATATTTTATGCCCAAAATGCTGACTTTTACTAACCTGATTACTGTAAATGTTCCATGTAATTCTTTTACATAGGCACATTCTAAAGCAGCGGTCCCCAACCCTCGGACCAGTACCGGTCCGTGAGTCGTTTGGTACCAGGCCGCGAGAGTTGAGGCTCAGGTGTGAAATGTGTGGTTTTCAGGGTTTTTATCGGTTTTCAGCATTATTTTGTTATCGTTTTTATCGTTAACTCGGTTTTCCTGGGTCTTTTCATGTGTATTATGAATAAATCTTATTTTTTTCGGTACCGGTACTAGTTTTATTTTGTTGTATTTATCCGCGACACCTTAAAGGCCGGTCCGTGAAAATATTGTCTGGCATAAACCGGTCCGTGGGGCAAAAAAGGTTGGAGACCGCTGTTCTAAAGTGTTAGTCTTGGAATTTGGTAAAAGGAAATTTACTTGATTGTTAACATTAATTTATACCAAGCATATTTCCTTAGTGATACATTATTTCAATAAATAACACTTTTATTTCACTTGCATTTTACTTGAAAGTATTCCTTCATCTTTATTGATGGTAAAGAATCTTTTTTTTTCAGTGTGTAGGGTTGTACCAGGAGATTTAGCACGAAGTTGGCTATTGCAGACCAAGACCTTATGAAATTCTCTCGGTTCTACAGTATGTCCTTTCCGTGATCTCAGTCACAGCAGGGATCTACCACAGAAACACTTCAAACTGTGAGCAGGTGTCTTAAACTATTTCTTTTAATATTCCTAGTAAAGAAGGAAAGTTATTTGTCATTGATCCTGATGATAAATGAGACACATCCTCTGGTCTGATAGACGAGGAGCTGGGGATCATCCTATTTTAGCGAGGAGGAGGAGTTAGGGAAGAGGGGACAGGGGAGCAGTCGATGAACGGAGGTGTAGAGAGTAGATTGTTCCACGTCAGTGGGTCGCGCTGGCACAGTGCTGCTGACGTCCACAGAGACAAAAATAGGGAATTGCCCTGTGAAGCTTGGTGCGTTGATGCTCGTCAGCAGATATGACTGACAGGTGTGGCTGGCTGAGTGCTCCACTCGAGATATCCGTCTGCAAACTTGTGTAAACTGTTTTCAGGAGTGACGGCGAGCAAATTTGTTTTATCATGAATGGCAACAAAAGCTATGATTGAAAAATGACTGCAAACTCTAAAGTAGCTGATGTTTAGAATACTGCAGTTTTCCCGTGCATAAATTCAAGTATGATTAAAACGTTTAACTTGTAGTTCTGACTTTTTTCACAGTATCCTCTGACTTTCAACTCTTAAAGATATGAAAAATTTGTTCAAAACTACTGCAGAGATTTGCAGAGTAGCCGCTAACATCAGTAGCAATGTTTGCATGAACTGATCAACACTGCCCCCAAGTGGATAGAAACCTGTCCTACCTCTTTATTTCCTCGTTCCTCTACAGTCTTACAGCCACGTACAAACAAATAAGCAAACACAAATTCATTGGAGCATACATTAAATCAATACATGACCTCATGCCCACAAGAAAAGTTTTGTTTATAGGGATGAGTACTTCCTTCTCTCCTATAACTCTGAGTTCCTCCCTTACTTCCTCACCGATGATGCACACGCTCTGGGTCGATGCCAGTCAGATATACAAGTTTCGCAGCAGCACATTAACTCTAGTAGTTGGCCATTAAAAGGAAGTGGTGTTTTTAAAATATTGATGGCTTTATGGGGAGAGGTGCTGGCTTTAGTCAAGCTGATACCATGGAAACGTCACTGTCCGTCTGGACAGCCACTGCAAATGTGTTGTTAGTTGAAGCTCTTCAGCTTAGGAATCAGAAATGGGTTTTAAGAACCACATTGAGGATTCAACATGTTTGAGTTTTCCTCGCATCTGTGTTGTTTTGCCAGTGCCTGATCCTGAACCAAATTCTAATAAATAGAACCTTTAATGAAATGTTAGTAATGAATCCATATCCTTTACATTTTGTTAGTCTAAGCTGTTTACGATCAAGGTTAACGTGCTAACGTGTGAGACCAAAGATGATGCAGGCCACTGTATATCATGTGACGATAAGCCATCAGTTAAAACCTCTTGTCTCACAGTGAAATAAAGTACATGTACATAGTTTCCCCATTCGCCGAGCAGCTATATTTCTGTTTGCGCGCAATTTTGGAATAAAAGAAATAAGACAAATAAGTGAGTATGAAAAGAATATGACCGCGTGTTTCCACTGCAGCAGTAAAACAGTCCCTGCTGTATGTCTAATAGGTGGACGGGATCCTGTGCCTGGCAGACATCTTGACTGATGACAGCAGCGTGGAGGCAGCCAGAGCTGAAGCGGCAGCTGTTGTAGCTCAGATCACTTCGCCTCACCACACATCCACTCAGCACCTCGCCAGCTTCCTGGAGAGCATGCACGACATTGTCACGGCGCTCATCAGTGAGTGGACGCAGTGGTGATGATCTCACCCTGACCACTGATTTATAGGAGGAAAAAGTTGTTTTGATTTCATAGAAAATTATGAGTACGTGATTGTTTTAGCACGAGGCTAAACTTTACTACCTTACTGAATTTCTTTTAAACCTCTATAAAACTCTAAACAAGCGAAAGAGAGGGGATCAGTCGTATATTTTGTGGTTTGCTTTACTTGCATTTTGGATGTTACGGTGTATTAATAATACCCCTGCAGTTTGGTACGTTACGTCTTTTTTTTTTCTCTCAGAGTTGTGTGAGACCGCATCCTGTGGTGAAGTGTTCCTCCTGGCGTCGGCTGCCTTGGCCAATATCACCTTCTTCGACAGCATGGCCTGTGAGATCCTCCTGCAGCTTAATGCCATCCACATCTTACTTCAGGCCTGCAAAGACCGCCAGAGAGTTGACACACCCTACTCCAAAGACCAGGTACATGTTTCCATGTATGCAATGTTTTTCTTACCCTAAGTGTCACATAATAATAATAATAATAATAATAATAATAATAATAATAATAATAATAATAATAATAATAATAATAATAATAATAATAATAATGGATTGGATTTATATAGCGCTTTTCAAGGCACCCAAAGCGCTTTACAATGCCACTATTCATTCACTCTCACATTCACACACATGTATGCAATGTTTTTCTTACCCTAAGTGTCACATAAAAGCAGACATACTATATAATTACACTATTACTAACAATAATGCAAAAATCAACCTGTTTTTAAGCAGTGCTCTCAACTATAGTTCTTTGCCAGACCTTTAATCATTTTGTTTTTGTTTAAATCGTAGGTGGTGACAATCTTGGCAAACCTGTCTGTCTTAGAGCAATGTGCATCTGAAGTCCTGCAAGAACAAGGTAGTCTGTTTTCTAACTATGGCTTTTCATTCCTTTTTACCCATATTTGGGATTTTTTTCCTGGCTACACTGCAATTTAATCAAGATAATACACTCACGGGCCTCTTGATTAGGTACACCTGTAAAATCTAATGCACTCTATTACAGCAGCTCTGAAATAAACTCTCCTTTAATGAAGCTTCTACATTTTCAGTTTTTGCTAATGTTTTCAAAAAGGTGATAATTTATACTGGTGGTTAGTGTTGTTGTACATGACTGGAGCATTCCTACACATTTGTTTCGCCCACCTCTTGTACCTAAGAGGGTTCAAATATTAGGAACTCCTTTAAACTTAATACTCCACTAAACCTCCAAAATGAATATAAAACTTTAAATTAAATTAATGGTAGTGGAAACTACCAAACTGCCGACTAGATGAAAGTAAAAGTAAGACGCTTCAGTGTAATTCTTTTTTATTCCTCAGGAGGGCAGCATCACTTTAATTTCTGTGAACTAGCTTAGAAGAGCTGAAAACATCAGACATATATATTTTTAATAAAGAGGTATTATTTGTTAAATAGAGTTACAAAGAGATAATATGTGTTTTGTATCATTTTGTAATCCTTTCATCATTCCCATTTGTATTTTTTCAAACTCTTTTCCTTTTTCTGTTTAACGTATTCCACTGGCTCTGTACTTCTTACACTATAAAAGAGTGAGATAGATAGATGTGTCTGAGTCACTGTCTCAGTCTCACACTATCGAAGGTTGGCAGTTTCAGTCTCTTTTTCTGCTCATTAAGGCCAGTTTGATTTTATTTTTCATACGAGCACCTCAGTGAAAAAAAAATCTGATTGTTTTTGTTACAAAACATTTTTATCATGTATTAAGCAGCTAAAAATGATTTAGATTTATTATCTCTCAATGTCACTTTATGAGTTTTGGCCTTTGAATTATAGCATTGCCCTTAGGGTGTTAGCCTTAGAACTTATTTTTCAGAATAATTTTGAAATATTATTTAACAATAACTGGCTGAAGGGCTGACTGACTGCCTTCAGTAATTTTTTTCTTTATTATACTAACTGCACTTTTTCTATATCCTTTCTCACAGGCATGTGTAGAAAGTTTTGCTTCTTTCTTTTTCACTTGAAACCTTGACTCTTGTGTAACTTTTTGTCTGGAAACTCTCAAGTCTCTCTAAATGTGTTGTTTTGTTCCTGCTCTTATATTACATTTTACATTTTGCTGGTTCCTATGTGTTATTTTCCTGCCTGGCTAATCTGTGCTGGATATTATATATTCAAGGTATAGAAAGACTGCTACTGTTGCTGGGAGAAAAACCATCCTCTTCCAGTCCATCAGAGGGCGCTGCCTGTGAGCGTGTCCAGCAGAAAGCTGCCGTCACACTGGCCCGACTGAGCAGAGACCCTGATGTGGCCCAAACAGCTATCCAGCTCAAAGGTAGTGAGGCTTTGTGTCTTTTGGAACACTTAACAATTATCTTACTTATTAAATATCGCATTGTACAAAATGTACAAAAGAAGTAAATGAAATGCATTTTGTACAAGGTGATATGTGTATTTAATAAAAAAAATTGTTAAATGTTCCAAAAAACACACACGTCCAATCCACACATCTGGCATAAGTAAACGAATATATAAAACACACACACACACACACGCACACATAAGTGCTGTAAGTCTGTCGGTGGCCACTAGAGGGTCACAGACAGACAGTAGGAAAATGGAAAGTATTTTGTTTCCGTTTTATCAGTTTTGTAGCTTTTTTTTTTTTTAAGTCTGTTTTTTGTTTTGTTTTGTATATTTATGCAACCATCTTAATACAAACATATGCATTTATGCAATTCAATAAAATCTATTTTACATTGCGCCAATTCACAACAGTTGCCTCAGAGAGGTTTATATTGCAACGTAAAGCCACTACCGTAATCAGATGATCAGCTGGTTTTGACTGACATAAGTAAAAATGATTTTGGCCACATAAAGATATTAGTTGGATATCAAATCCTCATAATCAATACTCTTTTAAAAAATGCCTGATAGACCAGAGGGAAATAATTTAAGAGTATTGGTTGCACATATGTTATTCTGCATAGCTGATTTTTCTGAATCCTTTAATCTGAATTTGAAAAAGTTACATGTTTCATAGTCTGTATCAGAAGTGACAGAGCGACTGAATCTCTCTTCTTTTTTAAAGGGGTGGTATTCAATTTATTGATCACAGAATGCTAAAAAAGACTTTTACCCAGAAGTCTACAACACACAGCTACAGTTGCTCTGTTTGACATCAAAGAGTTGGACAAGCTGCTAACTGAAATGTTCCTCTCTTGTCTTTAGCTGTTCCTCGCCTTATTGAGCTGTGTCGCTCCCCTACTGAGAGAAATAACAGTGACTCTGTGCTGGTGGCTTGCCTGGTAGGTATAAACCGTGTGTTTTTATTTGTGTGTGCACATACAAACCTTTACATATGTGTAAATTATTCTGTGTACTGAATACAAATACATCATTCAAACTCACAAACTGCCTATTTAAATTTGACTCCTAATATACTATACATTTTCAGCAGTAAAAGTAAGCGCAATACACCACAGGCCCACAATCAGTGCTCCTAATATTGTCCTATTTAATTACATTTAAAAGGCAATTTTTAAAAAGCAGAAAATATATCAACCTTATCCTCTCCAAGCCACGCTGAGAAAGCACCATTTCAGACGCTGCGTGTTTAAATATGTACATATCATGAATAATATCTCTGCTCATACATTATCATTCTATCATTCTAACCATAATTATTGAGACCAGATCTTGGGGCTGATGAGGGGATTTGAAGCACATAATGGTCAGGAGCTTAATTGGGCTGCCTCGCTGCGCTGAGAAATGCCTTCTTCTTTACTGTAACCACAGTCTATTCAAATTAATGCGATTCCATCTTATCCTTTTGGCCAAGGGTTAAGTAGCGCGTTTGTAGATGTTGAAGTTTTACCTTCAAAAGACGCCGAGCTTTCACAGATCATTTGTAATTTTCAACATAAATGTTGGAGGCTCTCGTGGCTGAATGGATTAGAGGCATCATGTGTAAAACTTGTACGCTCTTCAAATAAACAAAAAACAGGGTGATTTTAAAGAACTTCTAGCCCAGTAAAGGTTATAGGATTGAATTTGGTATTTTCATTACAGTTTCTTGCTGAAACTGTAAGGATGCATAAGTTTCTTTTTGGTTGTCAAGCCATATTATTCATGTGCAGTTGCCTGTATGCATGATTGCATATTTACTGTATATGTGCAGCACAATGATGAGATATGATAACATGAATGTCTGTGTGGTACGTGTGTTTGCTAACACGCTTACTGTGCATGTCTTCAGGCTGCTTTGAGGAGGCTGGCAGCAGGCTGTCCAGACAGCATCGAGGCAGCCGACCACCAGCAGCTGATCAAACCACGTCTAGTTGACTCTTTCCTGCTGTGTTCCAACATGGAGGAGAGCTTTGTATGATCCCCTGCACACCAAATCACCAAGAGTGAAGAACTCTCATTGTCAGTACAAAACCGCGCGTGTTCTGAAGGAGTGTATCTGTTTCATGACTACAGCTTTGTTTGAGTCTAAATTTCTTGTTCAGTTAAGAGGAAATAGCTGAATAGATGCAGAGGACATATAAATGTGTATAAATGTGTTGCATAGTGCAACTCAGTTTTCAGATTAAATGCAACAAACATGTATGTTGTTTTAGGAAAACGTGGGTCATTATTTCATGTTATTCCACAGAGAATTTCATTATTTCATTAATCATAACAGTAAGTATTTGTATAAGTAGATGAAACGTTTTGAAAAAAAAATGCAATGAAATGCTTTAAATTTGACCACTGTGCAATTTTTTTTACATTGTTTCTGAAGCGTTTTGACTCTATAAAAGGTTTCAGAGAAAACTGTCAATCTGAAATGTCTATCATTTAAGAACTGAGATTTAGTTTTGGTTTATTTTATCCTCATCTTCTTCAAATAATAAACTTTTTCAGTGAGCAACCATTTTTTAAAATAACTAAGTAAGTAAATTATTACCACTGTCGTGTATGTTTTTGTTTGCTTTTGTTACAGTCATGTGAAAAAGAAAGTTTTTCTAAGTAAACTAAGCAGCCCTGTAATTTAATAGCTTAGTTTAATAGGAAGCAACTCTAGCAGCAATAACTTAAAGGATGACTGAAACATGAGCTTATCGGTCTGTCAAATCATTGTGGAGGAGTTTTGGTCTATAGGCATTTGTTTATACACAGCTTGCTTAAGGTCCCTCCCACAGTATTTAATTTGGGTCGAGGTCTGGACTTTGGGTCACTGCAAGGCCTTGAGCCATTCCTTTTTGAGCCATCCTGTTGCTGATTTGTTGCAGCGCTTGGCATCATTGTCCTGTTACATGAGCCAATCTTGACCAAGCTGGAGCTGTCAGACAGAGGAGTTTTCATCAACTCAGTGAACACAAGGTCATTGTTAATTAAGGATTATGGTGATAATTACACATGTAACTAACAGAGAAAAAAAAAGTCCATTAATTAATTAAGAAACGGGTTAACCGCTAACAGTCATGGTTAATTTATCTTTCAAAGCTCCCAGACAGGCAATGAAAAGGAACCCAATTCTCCTATCTTCATTGTGTCTTAGTTAAAAGATGCCAAAAAGATGCTTTAGCCAGTGCCTTAGTGAAGGTCATTTTGGTATTTTTGAATGCTGTCGCTTATTGAATGCTGTAAAATCTTCTGTTTTGTTACAAAGAAATAAATTGTCTTTGGTCAGTGCCTGTTATGTGCTATGACAGTACATGGTAGCACAAGAGTGTATACCACACAGAAAGAGAGAAATGTTTTAACCCAGTAGTTCGGAACAGCAGAATAAGTTGTGAAGCACCACAGTCTGTCTTTTCATCACATTTTACTGAGGTCAAGAGCAAGATGTTGTGAATTTTAGGGCTGTTAAGAGTGCTCTGTATTTATAATATCTATCATTATAGAAAATGAAATCACTAAACAATAAATACAAACAAATGTCTGGTTAATAGCCTATTATTGAAGACACGGTTTACTGTGTATTTAAATCATAAAGCAGGTTTAATAAATATATTTATAACAATAATAAAAGCTTTTCTAAAGAACCTACAGACAAATGTCACCCCTGGATTTAAGGTGTTTATCCAGTATATTATATTCCAAGGTGTTTTCATTCAAAAGTCTGTAAGCACTAACGCCGCCTGCTCAGCAACAAACTGCAGCTCAACACAACAGATAGCTCGCAAACTTTGTGGACTATTTAGCAAACCAGATATTTCCCCTGTAGTTGGTAGAGAGCAAATGCGGATCTGAAAGAAGGTAAATATTAGACTTTTACGCACCAGACCACACAAACGTACCTGAAAGAAATCTATCACACTGCTTGGGCAAGTAAGTAACTGCTAACAATGTAGCCAATTAATAAAAAGGGGCATGTCAGTACTATTTTACTACAGTACTGCCTATTGTTGCTAAATAGGCAAAAAACAAAACACCAGATATGTGAAAAGCTTTTGAATGAGGCTCACAGGGAAACATCAAAGTGACGAGACTAAGAGATGGTGGATCCAAAGATTTACCTATTGGTCCACCACCGAGTTCTCTGAGAGAGAGTCTAAGTAGCTTGGAAAGAAAAGCGTCTGGACTTCTTTAAGTTGCTTGAAGACGTTTCACCTCTCATCCGAGAAGCTTCTTCAGTTCTAAGGTCAAATGATGGAGAGTCCCAGATTTAAGCCCTGTCCACCGAGAGGGACAATGGGCCCCCTAATGACCCTCTACCTAATCACATGAGCCAAGGAGTGAAAATGGGTGTGGGTCACAATCAGCCAAGGTTTCAGGTGAGCTCATTGTGAAACCTGGCCCCATCCTCTCATGTGATTTCCTGAGGTCTGATGGCCCAGGATGTGAGTGGGCGTTAAGGCGTCTGGGAAGGGATCTCAGCACTGGATTATAGATGGCAGACAGTTGGTGTCGTAAACCACCGCCTCTGTTCAAAGATGGTCGCTCACAGTGGACATAAATGGCTTCTTTCACTCCTCTTTCAAACCATCTGTCCTCTCTGTCCAAAATGTGAACATTGGCATCCTCGAAAGAGTGTCCTTTATCCTTAAGATGCAGATGGACTGCTGAGTCTTGTCCTGTGGAGGTGGCTCTTCTGTGTTGTGCCATGCGCTTGTGAAGTGGCTGTTTGGTCTCTCCAATGTAGAGGTCTGAGCATTCCTCGCTGCACTGTACAGCATACACCACATTGTTAATTTTGTGTTTAGGAGTTTTGTCTTTGGGATGAACCAGTTTCTGTCTGAGCGTGTTGCTGGGTCTGAAATACACCGGGATGTCGTGCTTGGAGAAAACTCTCCTGAGTTTTTCTGATACACCGGCTACATAGGGGATGACAATGTTGTTGTGTCTGTCCTTCTTATCCTCCCTCGCTGGTGTCTGGTCTTCTTTTCTGTGCCTCTTTGCTGACTCGATGAAAGCCCAATTAGGATAACCGCATGTCTTAAGCGCTTCCTTTACATATGTGTGTTCCTTCTTTTTCCCTTCAGGCTTAGAGGGAACATGTTCTGCCCGGTGATGTAGAGTCCTGATCACTCAGGTGTCGTCTACATATCTGTACCAGTGGCTGGGTACTCTCCCTTTAAAAGAGCCAAGAGCCTTTCTTTCCACTTCTTCCATGTAAAGGTTGGCTACAATAGGTGACAGCCATGTTTTTGCCTGTAGAAACCTTTGTTGTATTTGAAATATGTGGTGGTGAGGCAGACCTCTAACAGTGTGTGATGCTGTCTCTCTTTGAGAGAGAATTTTTCCCAAGTTGGAAAAACTTGTCATCAAAAGTTTGAGAATTCATTCATTTACAATAGCATTAAAAAGGACCTAACACCTCCCTATTATTGAAGAGTTAAACATTAAATTTTCACTAATGATTGGGAAATACACCAAGTAATAGGAAAAAAGATGTCTGAGTGTCGATCTGCAAAATGTGTCCTTTGTATTGCCATCCCTTTGATAAAAAAAACACTCAGCTCTTTTCATAAGCCTTCCTCTCCTTGGAGAGACAATTGAGGGTCTTCTTGCTTTCACTGTAGCTTCTTTTTCACCTAAGGGCACTAATGCTGAGCCTGGACTTGTAACACTCCAACTCAGCACTGAGACAATTGAGTTGCTTTGTGTGTGCGCGCATGTGTGTTGTCCAGCATACACGTGGGACTGTGTTCACAGGCTTTTGTGATAGAATATGCTCCTGCCTCGCTTTGTTGAAACCTGATGAAATATGTATGAATAAAGAGGAGGACTAAGCAGACAGCCTAAAAAACACAGGTTCTTTTGATATTGTTTTGGTTTGACCATGATCATGAGACCAAGTATTGTAGCTTGTAGAGTTTTTCTCAGTTTCTTAGCTCTTGAACTTTCACTTTCCTCCCTCTACATCATCTTCAGTAGTCTGTGTATGTTGTTGCCATTCTTTTGTTTTCTTTCAGTAGCAATTTGAACATTTTTAAGGGGGTAATTAACAAATAAAAAAATCAGCAAACCATCCATCTCTATTTTCATCAAAAATGGGAATATTTGTACCCCCACTTGTACTATGCTAAACACTTTCCCAAACTATAGCTATATATACACCTGGCATTTGGGGAAGGAAAAGGATCAGAGGACTTCTAATGCAAGAAGACACTTCTCTCTGGCTCCTGTGAGACCTGAATATTTTATGTGTCACATCTTTTGCTTGGAAAACTTTTTCTCTGTCTTCCTCTTTTTATTTCAGCAAACAATGATTGAAATTTCTCCTTCTTTAAAAAAATGCTTTCAGAAGTTGATAGAACTTCACTTCTCCAAAACTCACAAATTAGGAAGAAATAATGTGTCCAAACTTTGTAGATAATTTCTTTTGGTCAAGGGATTAAAATGATGCAAGTCTGCATATTTTCAAGATGCATATAAAGAAATGTGAAATCTTGTTTCTGTTGTTAGACAAACTGTATCTTAGGCTATCTAAGACCCAAGGTCTCCATCTATAACATGAAATGCCATGTGTTTTTTTTTTAAATAATTGTAAGATTACTATAGCAGTAGGTGCTTTTTAATAAGGCTTTGGAAATAATAAAATTGACAGCACAAGAGCAGCAACTACACTGCATCTCTATTTCCCAACAAACATGCTTGGCTCAGTTTACCTGTAAAGCAAAAGATCAGTGGTTCAGTCCTGGGCAGAGACAAAAATCCCTTTAGGGTTGCTTTAGGAAGGGCAACTGGTGTAAAAACTAAAATGAGTTTTTAGTGCAACCTGCATCTTAGGACACATCGTAGGAATAAGAGAGCAGCTGAAAGTAACTCTAGAAGTGTACTTTTAGCAGCTTTATTAGGGCGTGTTATTTGCATACTGTTCTGCTGCATCAATGAAAGAAAAAATGTAGTTAGCTTTCAACAGATCGACCTGTAGTGTTTCTAATTGTGGTCACATTTGCTGTCTGGTTTACACAGGCTTCCTTTTCCCAAATGTTTTACTAAGTGTCTCAATAAAATGTTGTGGACATTAAGTTATTGCTGTTGACAGCACAGATACTGTATTCACCTTCTTTTTTTTTTAAACTCAAGAGACGTAATTTCACATCACTTGCAATTTTCCAGCAGCAACAGACTTTTAGCTTTAGTTCTACATTCTTTCCATGACTCTTCCAGAGTAAAACAAGCTGCCGTTGAGAGACTTGTACTTTCAGACTAGTTTTACACCATTCCTTTGGTTGAATGAGCTCATTAGAAAAACCTAAATCAACAAAAACCATTAGTATCTGTTTATTTATCTCAGTCAATGCACTGCTAACATTTCTGCAACGATACACGCACGCACACAGAGACACACACGATCCCACATTAGTATCATCTTGCAGCACATATAGACCTCAGAGTATAACGACTAATTATGACTTAAGTGCCATCACTGTTGGACAGCCAATTAAAGAGTAATATTCCTGTTTACTGATAACTCCCCAGTTGGCCTCTTTTGAGGACCCAGTGGGATTTTAATTGCTAAAATACAACCACAACGCTGAGAGTAATTAATATCTGCACTTGTGGTTGCAACTTTTGGCCAAAGGCAGTGGAGGGTAAAAGCTTAATGCCATAAAAATGTCCAAGAATGTGTGCAGTGCAGAAGCTCCCTTTCACAATTTTCTTCTGTGTCTTGAAACTGCAGAATGAATGCAAGAATAAATGTTATGCAATGAAAACAAATCACGCGTGGGCAAATGGCATTTTCTTCTCTTTCTTTTTGTTATAAGTACTTTGTCAGAAGGTAATTCACCACTAAAAACATTTTGTATGTCAGCGTCTGTTTTTGTTGGTTTTGTGATTATGAATTTAAGAGTTTTACATGAGCAAACACTTGGATCTGCACGTTATTGATCTCACAGTAATCCATTAATCAGTCTTTACAGTGATGAATCGTGGTTGCTTTATTTAGGGGTACTTTGGGAGGCAGAGTCCCATGAGAAAAAATGTCTTTAAATAAAATCTGAGTGATCCCTAATAAACATTTTAATTCAGTCCAGTTCAATTCCATTTAATTTATGTAGCATCAAATCACAACAAATGTTACCTTAAGGTGCCTTAGTATGCATGGTAAAGACCCTACAATAACATAGAGAAAAGCCCAACAGAAGATCCCCTATGGGCAAGCAATTGGTGACAGTAGTAAAGAAAAACTCCCTTTTAACAGGAATAAACCTCCAGCAGAACCAGGCTCTAGGAGGGACAGCCATCTACCACAACTGTTTGGGGGTGAGGGGACATACACCAGGATTTGCGATCCTAAACATAGGGGCACCACTACATGTATGTAAAGGAAGTCTGTTTGAGGCACAAATGACAGTTGTGTCAAATTCTGAACTTTTCATAATAGTTTAAATAGAATCTAAAGAAGAAAAGACTAAAAGCCTTTAGACTTCAAACCTGTTGCAAAAAAAATATGAAATTACAACTTTTTTGGATGCAAATGTGTCGTTGAA